TTACTCCAAAACTTTCTATGTCAACCATCTAAAACCTCAATTGCTCCACTACTTGAGTAGAGATGAAGTTGTGGGTTACCCCACTATCTACCACATCCTTATGTCCTGTTGTCCGACCTGTCCTCGAAATTTTATCGTGTTGTTCGGTGTTAACCCCATCATTGAATTCAATGACTTATGCCACATCCAAGTGAGAGAGTTCCACCTCCACAATAATCTCCTCCATTTCATCATCCCCTGCCTCCTCTTCATTACACACTAAGAGAATTTGCAAAATCCTATAATTACAGGGTGTCCTTGGAAAAACTTCTCATTACACAAAAAATAAAACTCCTTTTGCTCGTTTCTCCTAAATATGTCCCTGCAAGACATTTGAATGTCACCCCTAATTGTGGCCCATTATTCATGTCCCATGGAGCCTCCCTCTGGAATCCCACTGTTTGAGTTTTTGGTATCGTCATGGTTATAGTATTTTGGTATGATGCTCCACTTTTGTTGCGCCTATTAGGTCATTTCATTGTATTTTTATCTTCAACCAACTGCACTAATTTCATAGTTTGCTCGAATTTATGGCCTCAAACCCTTCATGAAGTTTCCTTTTAATACGGCTTTTGATATCTCTCTCAAACGATTAGATAACATCTCAAACTCTCTATTATCCATGATGTACCCTTCTTGGACCAATACAAAAACTTGCTCGTGCAAATCCCCTTCTAGTGTGGTTCTTAAATGCTCCAGCCATCGATCCTTAGATTTTTCTCATGTTTTGATTTACTGACGTTGTTCTCTCCATTGATACCACGTTATAGCCTTCCCTTCCAAACACAAGGTTGTCACCATCAATTTTTTTCCTCTAACAGCCCATTGACAATAAAGTATCTCTCAACTCGATAAACTCAACCATAGAAATTATCTCCTTTAAATATCAACATCTTCAGCTTCCTTATGAGCGAGTCTCTCTAATTTTCTCGACCGAAGCTTGTTCCAACCAAGAAGCGGTGATTAGGTTCCCTTCCTCGGCACATATTCATTTTCATTCTTCAATAAGTTCGGCTCGCCCATAATCAAATTGTCTCTACCAAAAGGCACTTGAATCAGCTTACAAATGAAAGGTTGTCACGGTTGCCACAACAAAAGACCCTGACAAGGTTGGATGTAGCCCTAAGCTGGGGTCCACGCACTGTGCTTTCCTGTTCCAGGCCGAAATCCTTCAAATAGATCTTCTCCAACCCCGAATCACAAGCCACAGTCTTGTTCTGCATGTTGTTGCTCGCTCTATCCTTCCTAATACTGTGTGATCCTTCCCGGAGGCCAATTTTCTTCAATCGGTCTTCTCCAGACCCGAATCGCATGCCATCCAACTATTTTTTCTTGTTCCAAGCCTGCTGATGTCGAGTGATCCCTTTCTAGTGGCTACAATTCAAGTCCGCTTGGACCGTGTCGCTCAATCCCACATCCCTAAATCCACCTAAGGCAATGGCAATCCCCTGTGTGTAACTCTGATGTCGTGCAATCCCTTCTAGTTTGAGCCCGTTCTAGACAACATCGCTCGATCCCACAACTGGCAATGGAAGGTTTGCATTAAGCTCTGCGATCTTCTTCATCATTTCTTTTAAGGCTGTGAATCACTCTTTCATGGACAAGAACCGCCTCTCTACGGACGAGAAACATTCCTCCATTCCCAATCTGATTTGGCTCACCACTCCCTCCAATTTCTCATTCAAGGCATCGACTATCTTGACCGCCATTATTCCTAGGTACGGCCCTCTGCCAATTAGATAGAAACGAGATAAGTTTTCGCATAAATTAAGGCAAAAATAATATATTCTATTACACCAACACCGAAACAAAATAATACAATCCTGAATATATAAAAGATACGCCTACAATTTGAGTGTTGAGCAAGTCTCTCCCAAACCCTAACTCCTAAGATTCCAAACAACAATCATATGCCCGAACCCTAATTATATTAAGCCTTATTTATACCAAATAATATGTTACGACGTTGCCTAGCCTAAGAGCAATTTTATCTTTGTGCGTCTTTGGTCATTTATTATTGTTTAGCATAAATAGAGCCTAATAGGTTTATAGTTGGGTATGCATGCGATTGTGGTTATAAGTCTTAGGGTAGGGTTTGGGAGAGACTTCCTACCTCTCGAACAATAGGATCACGTACCTCTCGAATTGTAGGTACTTAACTTTAGATATTCGTGTTGAATTGTTTGGTGTTCCAAAAATAAAATTATTATAGACTCTAATTTCAGAGTAAAAATTAGCCAAGAATGGTATCAAGTGGTGATATTATAGGTTAACTTTTCGGGATCAAAGACGATACAAACCTTTGTGATAGAAACTCACGATACAATAGCGATTCACACTAGCTGGGAAGAAAGAAGAACACGGTGTCCAACGAGACGCGATACTGTCGCAATTAGCGCTGACTGCGAAGCAAAGTCGAAGCCATGGCTTACAGTGACACAATACCAACTCGATGGGAAAGCAATAACAAACCGCGCTAGACATTCACGATCGGGATAATTGGGAAGAAAAGATGAAACTATTGCGTACAGAGCATCTAATTTGTTATCATGATACAATCAAGATTTGGAGCAAGTGGGATGCCAACGTCAAGATTGTTGTGTATATGGGCCAACAACGGGATTGCATACAAGTGTGACCTAATCTTTCGATCGCGGTGTACATAGCCAACAGAGGGATTGCAGCTACATAATCAAGCTAGTCAGCAACAGTTGAGCAGTATTGACGCAATCAATTTGAGAAGGAGCTCGCAGTACATACACTAATCCAATCCAGTTGCAAGCGGGGACCGAATTTAGCGATACAGTTGCGATTTTTGATCCAAAGTTAGTCACTCAATCACTCTAATTTAGTGGCCAGTCGCGATAAAATTCAACATGAGTAATGACAGTTGGAGAAAAAATTAGAGTAAAAGGTGAGCCAACTTAAATTCGGGAGAGGAAATGTCCGCAACCATCAATGAAAAGTTTTTATCAATTGAAAATCGATTCAAGCGCTTGAAGGAGACGATCAAGAAACTTATCGAGATACAATTCAAAACCTCACCGCAGTTTAATTTGCAAAACCTAACTAAGGGTTGACCGAAAGATCCTTGGTTAAACCAAAAGGGAACGAGATTGAACGAAAGGAACACAAGGAGGAAAGCATCTCACATCAAGAGTCCCCACTCAGGGTTTCAATTGGGGGTGGATTAGAGACTTTCAATGGAGGTAATTGGGTCAAAATATGGATAAGAGGTTATGCAGGGGGATTGGGAGGAGCACCTAGAAGGAATGGTGCAACCTCCGAATGGATGGGATGAGCTGAAGCAAACTAGATTGAATGAAAGAATCAAAAGTAGATTTGAGCGACAATGACAATTGGCAGAATAGGATGACGTGCAATTCGGGACTAGAAAAGATCGCTTTAAAGAATTTCGACTTGGAATTGGTGCCCTTGGCGGTGGAAGTCATTCGAGCAAAAGACGATTCAGGAGTAATGATGGAGGTCGATATCATACAGCTTTGTGTGAGCTCCTTTCTAGCCTAGCATTACTAGTAAAGAAGGTGCATGGGAGTAGATCATACAGCTTTGTGTGAGGTTTTTGTGTGGATTATCGAGTGGTGAATCAAGAAACAGTACCTGAAAATTTTACATTCCAGTGATCGATGAGTTATTGGACATGTTGTTTGGGACTGCAGTGTCCTCCAAGATTATTTTGAAGACAGGACATCAGCAGATTCTGAGACAGCTAAAGGTAGTGCACTAGACAACATTGCAGACTCCTATAGGTCATTCCAAATTTTTGATTAAATGAAAAAAATTTCTCAGATTATGATGCCACCTGGGAGTCATGCTACCTGATCCGACTACAATTTTTTTCACCTTGAGAACAAGGTGCATTTTTGGGATGGGAGTATAGTTAGGCTGACGCCTAGCCTAAGGGGAATTTTGTCTTTAGTGCGCCTAAGGGCAAGTTAGTCTTCTGTCATTTATTATTGTTTAGCATAAATAGACCCTAATAAGATTAGGGTCGGGTATGCATGGGACTGAGGCTGTAATTCTTAGGGTTAAGGTTTGGGAGAGACTTCTTAGCTCTCAAATAGTAGGATTTGGTAGAGATAGTCCACCTCTCGAATTGTAGGTGCTTATCTTTTATGTATTCGTGTTAAGTAGTTTAGTGTTCCAAAAATAAAATTATTAGTGACCCTAAATTTGGAGTGGAAATCTACAAAGAATTGTATCACAATAATAACTAACATATGACTAAATTGACCCTTTTAGCCTTGAGCAAAAACTAAGTCATCAAATTAATTAGCGGGCTTGGTTTGACAGAAAGCACTCTAGGTGCCGGTCTAAAGCAATCCCATGTTGCATGAAAAAAACTAAGTAGATCAAGGTTAATTGTTATTTCAAATGATAAACCTTCTGCCATGAAGCACCAAATTATTCATTACATAAAAAGTAACAGAGATCTCTTTGTTGGAGTGGTTTGTTATTAGCAAGCACATACATAAATTATTTTAGGTAATTCAATAAAGAGTCAACGAGAAACATTCGACCAGCTTCTAATTTCTTCGGAAAGTTCATGAACAAGCATAAGAGCGTAAATAAAAAAAATAACTCAAAATATTTACAAAACAATGTGTCAAAGTAGTCCTACGACACTACAAGTGGAGTCCATGGATATGTCAATGGAAGCACATCACTCTGTGTCAAGAAATGCGAGATATGCTCCATGCAAAAATTACACTTCGAAAAAATGAAAATCTCTGCCAAAAAATATATGAAATGCTTTCATACTTGATATTGTAGAATCAAGAAAAAAATTTACAAGTTGAAATTATAATATGTGAACTATAACTATAGGAATACAAGATCTGGATGCGAAATACATAGAAAGAGTACCATTTTTTCAGAATGTTATTGTGAAATGAGAACTGAAGTAGTTAACTAGCAATAATATAAACGACTCTTGCCACCTTGCAATATTAAGTATGCTCATTAGAGGCAGTGTGAGATAATTTGATGGCGGAAAAACTGGTATGCTCATATCAGAATTGGGCACAAGTAAATGCTCAAGTGCATGATGGCCCCATATCCTGGCAACATCAACTGGAATCCAACTGAAAAGAAAGAGCCAATATGATATGAATGAATTTATAAAAAGAGATCAAACACACTAAGAGGTTGTCGGGTTAACAGCTTTAGCAAATCTTGTAAATCTGGATTTACCAAGTCCTTCCAACACCAGGATTTAATAAATCCGGGAGTAAGACAAAACTGATAGGAATTGAGAAGAAATTAGATTTGTTAAATCCAGGACATAAAATTTGCCCTTTTTTCCTGTTTGGTAGTATAAGTTAAATCCCACTTAAATTTGTTACCAAACAGCCCTAACGATAACTTAGAATCTAAATATGCTAAAGAATGTAAAAGTATACCCGTTACAATTCAATGTTAATCGGCTAGAACCTCGAGACAGAAGTAACTGCAAAAAGTAGAAAGAAGAGAAAACTATAAATACAAGGAGCAATCAAAGAAAAATCACACCACAAATACAAACATCAATATTAAAAGACATGGTGAAACTAAATTTGCCTGGCAACATCTAAGATTTCCTCCACAAGCTGCATAATGCAAAGGAGTGCTTCCCGCTCCTGCCCGCCATTGAAATAAAATCAAAATCACATCTTTAAAACAAAATTGACATAAACCGTGAGCCTCATACCGATCAAATTCATCGAAGAACCATAATGAAATGTAACAGCGGCAACATTGGCATGCAGATCAAGTAAAAGTTGAACGCACTCAACATAGCCATTCAAAGCTGCTATGTGGAGAGCAGTGATACCACCATCAGCTGGCTTGCTAATAAATTTCGCCAGAGCACTGCAACAAACAACATAAACTCAAGAAATAAACTTCTTAAATTTCATTAGAATGACGAGAAATAGATTAGAAATAAAGTCAAAGTAAACACACATCTGATCATATCTATGTCCCAAAGATGAATCAAGGCTATTGCTCCTGCTACATCCATCTCTGTCTCCAACCTCAAGAGAAGCTGCCGTCGAATAGGGAGCGCTGGGAACAAAGTCAGCAACCAAAAGCCTTATGCACCTAACATGGCCGTCCACCACTGTAAAGTGCAGTGCCGTCCTGCCACTCAGATAATCCGCTCTAGTAACCTAATTAAATACATTTTCTCAAAAGCTCAGTCTGGAAAAACAAAACTTTGAAAGAATCAAACATATACAATAAGGACTCCTTCAATTGAAAGAAATACAAAAAATATTATTTTTAAAACGAGGAACTACTGGATTCTCCCATTTGGTTTGATTGCATGTAATCAAAAAATAATACTAACTTTGAATTCAAAACAGTCTCAAAGGCAGCCATGTATTTTTTGTTCTAATTTTTGTTTTTTTTTTCATCAGACTATTGGATGAACCTTTAGTTGTTTCAAGATGAAGATAATGGTTTAGCATGTGCTAATTTTGCAGTGAAAATAAAATTATTATTTTTCAAACGTTTTAAAAATTTTATAAAATTTAAAATTCATACCTCTTTTTAATTATATCCATTCAACCAAATGAAAACTAAACTAAAAAGGAAAAAAAAAACAGAAGCAGCAGATCAAGTACATTGCAGCGGTAGAGCAACAGCGTCTGCACGACCTCCCAATGCCCGTGCCGGCAAGCTTGCATCAAGGCCGTCTAAACAAAAAATCAAACAGATAAAATCCACGAAAATTCAAACCATATTCCTCATCAACCCAAACCGAATACTAAAACCTAAATATACAAATCAAGATCAAGAACCTGGCCGCAATAATTCCTCGAATTTACGTCTGCCCCATTGTCTAGCAACAGCGTAACTATCTGAAATCAATTCCAAAAAAAAAAAAAAAAAAACCAAGAGGGTTACATAAATTTCTAAAAATTGGAGGCAGGAAATATCAATGATGAAGAGAATCGAACATCGTTGTGGCCCTTTGCGGCGGCGAAATGGAGTGGAGAATTGAGGCCCCCGAAGGTCGAGTACTTGGCAAGACAAGGGTTGAACTCCAGCAACATGCGAGCTTCAATAAGATCACCATCTCTCGCTGCCGACACAAGACGTTCGCCGGAAGCCGAGCAGCCCAGAGAGTTTCCCATCGTTAACTCGGCCGCCGCCGGCAAATCTCTAAGGCGGCGCCGCCTCTTAGAGGACCTCTCTATCTCTGGTTTCTCTACCTTTCTCTCTCAACCTTTTACCGCATGCTTACGTCGACGGGGAGAAAAAAAACGGAGGGGTCGGTCCACCGAACCCACGATCTATTTCTTCTCCCGGATCGCATTCTTATTATCTATGATGTCTTATTATTAACATTATTATTATCTATGTATCTATAAAAATAATTTAATATATAATCAAGAATATATAGATCAAATATTCACCAAAGTTTAGGAATATGGGCTTACAAGATGATATTGAAATCACAATTAATTTAAAATAATCCAACATATATAACTACTAAGGATTATTGAGACTATAATTGATGTAGTTCAATTATAATAGATTTGTGTGAACAATAAGACTCATAGTTGGTTGTAGAAGGCGTTGATTATAAAAGTCGTAATTGATGGCTATGACAATTGCAGTAGAACTAGCAAAGTTATAGTTAAAGGCTATAACAACTGTAATTAAGTACAAAAGTCATAGTTACTAGAGGTTATGGTAACAATGGTAGGACTATCAAAGTTGTAGTTAGTGGTGGTCGAGAATGGTTTGTGCTTCACGAGAACCTCAATGGTAGGTTTGTTGGATTCTTCTTATCAAGACGCTTAATTTGAATATAAATATGTTAAATTTTTTACATTGTTTGGCCATCAAGTTAATGCACCAAAGCCTTCATCAATATTTCAAGTATCTGATATAGATTTGTCAATATTCAAATTGAATCACTCGCTAGGTTTGTTTTGTCGAGACGTTCTGTTTGACTATAAACTTATTAAAATAGGGGCCAAAAAGATCGTCAATTTTAACTCATAATGTTTCTTGATTAAAATGCTTAAAAGTTTATGTTTGATGATAACAACTTGATAATGATACATCAACTATAATTCTTAATTTAAAATTGGTATCAAATTCAAAATTTTATTTTAATATGAACTTTTTCAATAATATATAAATATAAATGGCATGCCATAAATAAGGTAAATTGTAGTTCGTTTTAAAAAAACATAAAGCACAGACACGAGTTGGATTCTCTTTCTTGGCAGTTCAAATAAATTTGTGATTCATAAATTTCATAATTATAGTGATATAATTTTAATATAACATTTTCTAACATGTGTTGGATCCTAAATTGTCCTTCAAAAGTGCATGCCTCGAGATTTCGAGTAGAGGGAAGGAAAAGGGGAGAGAGTAGAGCAGATAGAAAATTCGGAAAAAATTTCATTTATTCATCTTTTGACCCTTTATTTTTAGGGGCCTAAATGTACAAGTATGATAAGGAGGGAATAATTACGGTAGTCGCTTTAATTGCTAATTTAATATCAGATTTATGTTTACAATTTGAGTAAAGTACAACGACTATTAATCGGTAGTCGTGTTAAGTTCGATTGACCTAGGCGGTCATTTGCATGAAGATTGCTCCCGTCGACGGACTATCGACATCATATCAAAAATTTAATAAGGAAAATTGTCGATTGACTAGTTTTAACTGGCTAGTCTTATAAGAAGCTCAGGTAGTTGAGATCGTAAGTAAGGTCTGCCGACTGGATCTATCGACATCATACGTCGGCCGACTCAACTGAGACGTCGGTCGTTAAATGGGCTAGTTCAGATCATGCTCTTAGGTTCGAGACCTCAATTGCCTGGTCACCATCCTCAGTCGCTCGATCCCTCTGAGATTCGTGCTGGCAATTTTGGTGTATACAATATGTGATACACCATCAACATATTTTCAACTTTTGACACAAATCTTAAGGCATGATAGAAAATCTCAGGATGATTTTTAAAACTTGACTAAAAGTCATCCATAGCTACAATTTAAGCAAAATTACAATTAAATTGATTGGTTTGATGTGACATAACCAATGATACTTAACTTGGTCCAATCCGAATCAAATCAAGCTTAGATCATCAAGCCATTATACCACATTTGGAAACTTTTGGAGCTCCTTTGAAAGGTCAAACTTTTGGACAAGATTAATACAACCAACCACCGCCGACCGCCACTCGTCAATCGTCATTTATTACCACCGGTCGCCGCCCACTTCTTACGATAAGCTCAACCACACACCGATGTTGCAATTCAAGAGATTGTGTAACTTTTTCCCGATTGTGAGACAAGAGGTTGTAACTGTAATCATCAAGTCATAATGCATCTCTTCAAGTGGGCTAGACCCCGTAATTTTTTCCCTTTCCATATATTTCACGTACAATTTTTTTATCTTTACTCATTTTCTTTTTTATATGAACGTGTATTGAATCCTTATATAACACTGAAAAGATAATTCATTAATCTAGAACTGTTATGATTATATCATGCAAGAGATTAAAAATGCTAATGGGTTTTCAAAAGGTGTCAGAATTTAAAAAAAAAAAAGGAAAAAAAAATTTAAAAGACCAAATAATATGCCCAAAGTCCACTATTAAATCAGCCAGGCGAGTGGGGGTACATCAAAGACAAAAACACCATGGCAAAGACTTCATCACATGATTACTTATAAGTTAATTGCATAACCCAACGTCATAACATATTTTTTATTACTTCTGTATCCATCAAGGGCAATAACATAAGGAAAATATTTGTGTCAATTTTAATCCAAATAAACTCCACAGCTTGTATATCTACATATCTCACACCTAAATTTTCATTAAATTTATATATGTAGTACTCAAATCTCTAATATCACATAAAAAATAATGCTATAATTACTATTTCTTAAAAGTGAAGTCTACATTTTAATGTATAGCTATGTATGTAAATATGAAAATTCAGGCGTGAGATATGTAAATACATTATAGTAAAATTTCTCAAAAATAATAATATATCACATAAGATTGTAACTCAATAAAAAAGCTCTGATTTTTTTTTTTTTTTGGAAAAGAAGGATCAATACACAATTCTCGTATAAATACATTATAGCGCAAAAAAAAATATTATAATTTCCTCGCCATAAATCTAAAATTTTCTTCGTATTTTTAAAATCAATTGTTTAATTTAAAACACAATTCTCGTCCCACATTAAAATAGTGCGACTAAAATTTCAGAAAAAAAATATTGCATCAGAACTCAGCACATAAAGTTAAGTGCGGAGTTCAATGAAATCACGCCACATGTAGGTGACAGAAAAAAAATTAGTCAGGTAACACAAAGGAATATTTCCCCCATGTTATTCCGTGTTATTAAGATGATATTGTGTTTTGGGAATATTCCTGATGTTATAACAACACAATGACATATCAATAACATTTGAAAAACACACAATAACACCTGGATAACACACAATAACACCTGAATAACACGAGAGGAATATTATCTTGTGTTACCGGGCATATTTTATTTTATTTTTTCTGTCACCGTCACATGACGTGATTTCATTGAAGTCCACACGTAACTCAACGTGCAGAGTCCTGATGCAATATTTTCTCAGAATTTCATGACTTTATTCAAAACGGGAGAATTGTTTCATATAAATCATGTCGTTATACACCTCAATAAAATGATGTTGTTGAATGAAATTACGACGGGATCTTAAATTTTATTTGAGCATTATTACAAAAATTTTCAATTCCATTTAAATTTATGATTAAACCATTGAGCATGACACACGATCTAATTAAGAGATTGTCCCCTCACATGTTCAAGTTTGATTCCTCTTATGATTATCTCTTTCAAAGGCATCCTAACTACCATAGTTTATACATTTGATTGTCTTCATTTTGTCCATCTACCAATACATAAACAACATAAACTGTCAACTTAATGTTTTTAAATGTGCAATTATGAGATGTTGTACTTCTTGTGAAGTCTATGTGTATTAGTCTATGCACCCGAAAAGAATTCAAATCTTTTGCTATTGTTAGTTATGGCTCATATGGCAGATAAGAGATAAATATTGGAGCGGAGCGGAATTGTTTCAAGAAATCCGAAAAGAAAAAAAAATGTTGCTCATTGCTCCCGAGAACATAGGCATATTGTCGAACCTCGTTAAATCCTTGATTGATCTTTGCCCTCCTTACTCAACAGCCATTTTCATATCTACATTCTTGTTAATTTTGATGAGCCAGATTTAGTCTTGGAAGCTTTAAACCTAAATATCAATTGTAGGAAGATTTACATACATGCCACTCAATTCTTATGTATTTACATACCTAACACGTAAAACTCAATACAACCTTTTCTATGGATGAAAAAGAGTATATTCCAGATTTAAAAAGTAAAAAATGGTGCTATGTATGATGTGACCATACGAAAAGTTTGAGTGGTGTGAATGTAAGAAACAAAGTTTAGGTGTTAGATATGTAAATAGATAAGAGTATGCATGTAAATGCCCCAAATTTTTATGACACACATAACTATGAAAGGTTTCACATAATGACATGCGAATTACTCTTATTGAGACATTCGATTTGATTATAAGTGTAAGATTTGGATATTGTCTCTTTTTTCAGTCAATACTTCAGAAGTTTCAATTGCATTTCAAGTGCTTGATTTGAGCTCAAATTGAATCTTTTTTTATATCATTGGGCTCTTTGCGTCGAGATATTCAATTTCATTATAACTTTGTTGAAATGAGACATGTATGATCTTGTATTTTACTTTATAATTTATCTCCTTCTATACTAATCCAATTTGTGCATGATCAAGAAATGTTAATTTATTTACTTTTTTGTGGTATACATAAGAACAAACTCAATTAGGGTCCACGGCCCCTCAATTTCAAATTTTTATTTATATAGAAGGGCAATTTAGTCTTTTGTCACTCCCCTCGAAAAATCGATTTGCCCTTTCATGCTCTTGCTCCTCATAAATCTCGATTAATAGTGCTCTTATAATATGTTTATTCAATACAAATAGAAGTAAACTAAACAAAGAAGGAAAATTTACAATTGCATCACATAACTTTTATGTATTACTATGTCTAATATTTATAATTTAGTATTTATATTTATAAAACTTTAGTATCATAAGGGATATTTTAAAATAAATAATAATATTATTATTTTTTATGTGATATTAAAATTTTAAGTGTTATATATGTAACTATTAAAGATATAAAAAATTGTTCAATGATTTTAGAACGTAAAGTCGCATATTGTCTGTGAGTTC